AGGATATCGTTAAAGACAATGAGTTGACTATGACGAGACTTTCTCACCTGTTGCCATGATCAAATCTATTCGGATTATGCTAGCTATAGCAACATATAATGATTATGAAATTTGGCAAATGGATGTCAAGAATGCCTTCTTGAATGGGTTCTTGAAGGAGAAGGTGTATATGACACAGCCTGAAGGTTTTGAATCCAAAGGCCAGAAGTATATGGTATGCAAACTTCAAAGGTCAATATATGGGCTAAAGCAAACATCACGGAGTTGGAACATTCGTTTTGATGAGGTTGTTAGGAGTAACGGTTTCATCAAGAACAAGGATGAGTCTTGTGTTTACAATAAGGTTAGTGGGAGCAATGTTATTTTCTTGGTGCTTTATGTGGATGACATACTCTGATAGGGAATGACATCCCTACACTTCAAACAATTAAGGAGTTGCTTTCTGAAAGCTTCACCATGAAAGATTTAGGAGAGGCAGCCTATATACTGAGTATAAAGATCTATAGAGATAGAACTAAGAGGCTGCTGTGATTATCCCAATCTACGTACATTGACAAAATACAAAGGAGATTTAGTATGGAAGGGTCGAAAAGGGGTTTTCGTCCTGTCAATCATGGCGTGCATCTTTCTAAGGTTATGTGTCCTAAGACACAACAAGAGAAGGATCGCATGAGTGAGAGACCATACGCTTCGGCTATCGGATCCATCATGTATTGCCATGATCTGTACAAGACCAGATGTCTCTTATGCTTTAAGCATAACGAGCAAGTACCAGGCAAACCCTTGAGAGGGTCACTAAACAACAGTCAAAACAATCCGCAAAAGTACTTGAGAAGAACTAACGATATGTTTCTGGTGTATGATGGAGTTAATGAGCTAGCAGTGAAAGGGTTCACTGATGCTAGCTTCCAAAGTGACAAAGATGATTGTAAATCACAATCAAGGTTCGCATTCACCTTAAATGGTGGAGCAATGACTTGGAAAAGTTCCAAACAAGAGACTATAGTAGATTCAATGACGGAGGCTGAATATATAGCGGCTTCAGAAGCAGCTAAGGATGCGGTGTGGACCAAGAAGTTCATCACTGAACTTGGGGTGGTTCCCAGCGTTAGTGAGCCCATACAGTTGTATTGTGACAACAATGGTGCTATTGCGCAGGCAAAGGAACCCAGGTCTCATCAAAGATCAAAATACGTGCTCCGCAGATATCACATGATTAGAGTAATCATTGATAGGATGGATGTAAAGATAGACTATGTTCCCACAAAAGATAACATAGCCGATTCTCTGACAAAAGGAGTTTCTCAGAGAAAACATGATAGTCATTATGAGGCTTTAGGATATAGATTTCGGTCAGATTGGCTCTAGGCCAAGTGGGAGATTGTTAGTACATTGGTTAAATTAATTATCAAACATTTAAATTTTGAATTTTGAAATTTGGAATTTGAATTTTGAAATTTGAATTTTGAAATTTGAATTTTGAATTTGAAATTTGAAATTTGAAATTTGAATTTTGAATTTGAATTTTGAAATTTGAATTTTGAAATTTGAAATTTGAATTTGAATTTTGAATTTGAAAGTTTGAATTTGAATGTTTGAATATTCGAATTTAAATATTTGAATTCAAATTTGAATTGGCTATGAAAAGTTGTTTCATAACAAAAGGATAAGATAAGATCTTGTTGGAACAAATCACTAGTATCAAGAGGATTGGCTGTTGGTGAGTGTCATTTAGTCATCAAAATCAGCTCCAAAAGATACGGTCTGTTGGGAGAATATTTGAGTGAGTTGATTCAAGTTTGAATGCAACTACTCAAACGTATCTAGACTCCTTTTGGGACTGAATGGGGAGCACAGTATGAGTGGTCATGTGATGACCATCAGGTCAGAATCTTGATTAGATAAAGACCTTATCTCATAAGGATTCAATGGAGAGGTTGTTTGTAGTTTTGAATTGCAACAACTCCTTTATCTCCTCATTTGTTGTGCTCCACTTTCATGGGATTTTGAAGTGAAAAATCTGATTTCACTTATTTATTCCCTCACTCTCTTGTGCTATATATAAGTGTGTTCCTCCTTAGGGTTTTTAAGTGAAAAAGACCTAGCCATTCTCTCCTCCTTCCATGTGCCACCTCGTGAGGTTTTCTCTCTGAAAACATCACTCTTCTAAACACATTTGCCTAGCCTCCTCTTTCATACATTGAGCGCATAGCAAGCCTCATTGTGGTGATCAATTGGTGGTTCTACAAGAAGGAGTTCTTTCATCTAGACGCGGGTGGTGTGGATCAACGTTAGAGGGTTTGAACCCTTCAAACCTGACCTTGATCATCCTGAAGTTTCACGAACAAAGGTATAATATACGTCTTATTACAAAAAAAAAGGTATAATATACGTCTTAAAGCACGTATCTTGATGTGCATGTGTGTTCCGCTAGCGAAAACTTTTGTTTTTCCCTATCACATGCCTCGACCTTCAAGGTCATTTTACTTTCAATAATTACATCTAAGTTCTAACTATGATTCAGAGGAAGAGTTGAAGGGATTAGAGCTTACCTAGTTGTCCTCCCTCTTCAGTTATAACAAAAATGAGGGAAATGGTTTTGCTCGACTCGGCTACACATGAACACCAAATAGAATGATGACAATGAGCTCCTTAGGTAGAGATTATAACTCTTCTTCTCTTAAATCTTCGGTTTAATTTGATGAGAAGTAAGGGCTTGAGCTTAGATTCCTCCTTTCTTGTGAAGACCCACAAGTAGGAGTAGAGAAAGGTGACACTCTTGTGTGTGAGGTTGTTACGATGTGGTTGTGAATGTCCTAGGAGATCTTGCTTCGGTCATGGAGGGAGAAAACTATACTAGAACATTACATAGGTATCTATGAGGAATTCTTGTGTGTGACACAATCTAAGGAATGATGGAGATGGTGGTGAAGTAAATGCCTCGGCTAATGAGGAAGGAAATAGCAAAAAAGTGCAGACCAAGAATCAACAAGAAAATGCAAGTGTCACGAGAGAGGACGTGGGTGGCATCCATGCAAGTAAAAATAGGAAGGAGTTTAATCGACATGTGGATGTCATGCACTAGATGAGATGGCAAATGCTTGGACACATGGAGCTATGCAATGGATGAGATAGAGGAAAATTGCCACATGTGGCTAGTCCTTAATTAATTTATAATCCAATTGTGTCTAAATTTTTATGACATGGATTAGAATCATTTAAGGGAATTTAGAATTTCATATCCACATTCTGTATGGATTTAAGGGGTCATCACTAGGGGTGAAAGTGGGCTGGGCTGGGCCAAACTTTGTCCCAAAAAGCCTAAGCCTATGTTAAAAAATTTCAATCTGGCCTGGCCCAAGCCTAGTACGAGTCTAATTGTTAGCCTGACTTGGCCCATTTATAAAAAAACAAATAGCCTGCCGTAGCCCGTTAGCCTGTTAATTTTTAACTTCTAAGCAGAATCATGAATCAACTTTACAAAATACTCAAATTATGTTGCTAAACCAAAAATCATAATTTCAATGTCCAAACAGAATCATGAATCACAACAAAACTCATACAATCTGCATTTAAGTCACTTTCAAAAGCAAAATGCTCAAACTAAATAACATATATTTCATCAGATCCAACAAACACATCATGATGCTTGTAGTAAGTATAACCTCTCCCAAAAATCTTTTAATATATTCATATACACAATCTAACATGTTGAGATGTTGGTTCCTCCTACGTAAGAAATAAAGTCAGATTTCTATTAAAATATAATCGAATATAATTAAGTTATAAATAATTGCAATTGATTTAATTTATATGTTTTGTTTTTTCTTCAAGGCATAGTTATTCTATTTTATTTTATTTAAAATAAATAGTACAATATAGGCCGACCTGTAGGCTTATAGGCCAGAACTTGTGAAAGTGAGCCTACGACCTTTTTCTTAAACAAGCTTTTTCAAGGCTCAAACCCGGCCTATTTTACGAAATATACTAGGTCAGGTTTGTCCTGATGTAGGCCAAGTCGTAGGCCCCTGTAGGCCGGCCCGGCCCATTTTCACCCCTAGTCATCACAATAAATACTTAAAATAACTCATTAAAGAAATTTGAATTTAGTAAGTCAATGTTCAAAATAGGTAACAACTGGCTTAACCAGTAGTTTGGAGTAAAATATCTAAGCACGCAGCTATGTTAAAAACTTAGTAGGAAGAACTTTGTCATCTTTATAATTTTTGATCGACTTGAATCCAAATTAATCAGCATCTGTTTACGATTAAATAGCATATGAATTTAAAAAAAATAACAACTAAATTGATTGACGCACTATTAATCAGACAATAGTAAAAATAATAATAAGTAGTATGCTTATCCCACAATAATTTTAACTAGACTCTCAAATTTAACTTAGATATATCGTATCTTCTTTTTGCTTTTTTTTTTTTTTATGTTTTAGTTTTTACCTCAAATCAAATTTGTACAAGATATAAATAAAAGAATTAATATTTCTCATGTCATATGATATAAAGTTATCTTTTGCAACTTTAAAATTACATGGTTTTGAGATTTAGAATAAAAAATAAATGGTATTTTAATAAAATACATGTTACAATGGAAAAATAAATTTTTTAAAATATCCAATATTTTTTATTTTAAATCTCAAAAAGACGTAGAGTTGGGATTGCAGGAGAAAACTCTAGAAAGTTTTTTTCCCCTTAAATAAATATATTGAAATATTTCTTTCTCAAACAAACCCTTATTTATTGAATTGAAGTATATCACCATCTATTTTCTTCCAATCTATATATATTAATGAAATTTTAACTGAATTATAAAAACTATACACCAAAGCAGATACTTACTAATTTTTTTACTTTGTTTTTTGTTTTTATGACAACGATTCTTAACATTTCAGACCCAAATCAAAAATCCAAGTCAAGCGAACCAGGCCCAGAGAAAAAATAAAAGTAAAAAAAAAAATTTAACAAGACCAAAAGCATACTGAAAGGTAACCCAACGTTTTGTTCCTTGGTTTCTCTTACCTGAGCAGTGCCAGTGAGGTGAGTGTAACAACAGCATATGGGTGCGGCGGAGGCGAATATAGCACTTCGAGCTCAGCCTGAAACGACACCGGAGAATGTCGAAGCCTTGCTTGAGGTAACCAAGAAACTTTTACCGCTTTTCCTCTCTCTCTCTCGCTCTCTCTCTCTCTCTCTCTCTCTCTCTCTATATATATATATATATATATATAATGTGATAATTAGAACTTTGATAGGTTTTAACAGGCTGCAAGATATGATGACATGGATGATGTTGTGAGCTTAGCATCCAGTGGTGTTCATCTTGATTCCAAGGATGATCAGGGGAGAACGGGTATGCATATATACAAATATAACTTTGTTAACTGTGGAATTAATTCATAAAGGTTAGTTACAGTGAAAAAAGTTCATTTTTCTTTAATTTGCTATTTTGTGGGGTTTGAAATCTGGTTTTATTCTTGTTGTTTATGGAGTTTGATAGTGCTGATTACAATAACGGCACTTACTAGAATGCAAATTTAGTTTGATGTACTAAGGGTTTTTCAGTTAAATTCAACAAGAATAAAACTAGGGCTGTTATTTAATTGCGTATCATCGAGATGGTGAATCAAAGGGGCACAAGTTCAAAAACAAAGCAGGATCAAGCTGCTAAGCTCAGCTGTAAGGGCTTCCATAATCCTCAATATTTCAGGATCATGATCCAGGCTATATTTCACTATCCTATTTAGCGCACTTGTTTCCCTCTCTTAATGTATAGCTGACTTTAACTATCAACTCCAGTTAACCATACACTTCAAGTTCCCGTTAATCTGTCTTGCTGCCAAGCTACTTCCATTTCATCATTTCCTTTCAGAACAAGGAATCAATGATCACAATAAGAGAATTAGTGCTTCGGCATTAAGAATCCAATTCAACCGAAACTCTTCTGTATCCCAAGCTCCTGGCTAATTTTAAACCTTCCCAAGCTCCCCCCAAATCTCAGCAGTGAAAGGGTTTGAAGTTTTGAAATTCCCAGGCTTCATGTGAAACCTTTTATCCAGCCTTATCAGACCCCCAACATCTTATCATACCAGAATTAAGTTCCTAAAAGCTCCATCAGTATTAACTTTTACCCACCCTTCTTCTGGAAGGATCTACTTTACTTCCTTTACTAGAAATACATGGAATAAGACATACCTTTTAGCCTTCCCCACTGCATCCTCTTCAGCTCATCATTAGGATTAACATATGTTTGAGTGAAGTACCACTCTCCAATAACATACTGCAATTTGATATGAACTAGAAGTAGTAGTAATGGTATCGCTCTCCCAGTCTCCTCTGATTAGGTGGATTTTGGTTATAACTTTTGACTCCTTACTGGAAAATACACTTATTTTAATGTAATAAGAACAGTTAATTCAATATTGGATAAAACAAGAGCAGATTATGTGATGAATCCTTAAATCAAGATGTTACAGAGATGGTTAGGTAGATTTTGGTAATAAATTTTGATTTTAAGCTTGTCATTGATGAGAACAAGAGATATAGGGTCTTGTATGGAAAGTGCCCATTTTATAAGGTCTTATTGATTAAATGAGTTGACTTCAATTTAAAAGGAAGAGAATTGAGAAAAATAAAATAATTTTGTCTTAAGACCAATTCAGAAAAAAAAAAATTAGCTGTCGTCCTCTATACTTTTTCATATGTGCTTGACTTTGCTCCTCTAATGTATGTATCCAGCTCTTCATATGGCTGCAGCTAATGGACATGTTGATATTGTGGAGTATTTAATCAGTAGAGGAGTGGTGAGTAGCATTTTCACAAATATGCTTCGTTTGATTTTCTAACTTTATGCTCTAAATAAATCATTGGTCAATTAGAATTAGAGAAGACATTTTCTGTCCGATAGCAAATAATTTCATTGATCATTACTGCCTTTTTTCTTTTGGGTAATTCCATGCTATCACTTTATATTAGATGATGATGCACTTATCATTGTCTAAGTTAAAATAAAAAAATGTTTCAGTGTTATATGTCCCATTTCTCCCATCTTATGTCCCTTTCCGTGATAACTTTTATTATTATAAATCTTTACGTTCCAAGATTCATTAAATGTTATATATATATATATATATATATATATATATATATATAGGAGAGAGATCATTTGACTTCAGAGTAAGACTTATAAGTAGGCTTTTGGGAAACTGGAGAACTTTTTATAAGAGTAAAGGTTTCACTTCGGAGGACATGAATATCTTTCTAGTATTTTTTTATATTTTAATCTATTTGACAGTATTGATGCACACTTTATACCCATCTTACACAGTTTTTTTTGAGTATGTTGATAAATCCATATACCCATCCTACATAAACTAAGAAGGCCTCGTACTTCAAGCTGGATAATCCTGGGGAATCCATCTCTTACTGATTTGTATGTCACTTCTTGATGCCATGTGTTTACAACATTTATCAAGATAAGTTATCAACATTGCTTGAAAAATTATGTTTAATACCAAGCTGTGGATGGGAGCAACAATTATGTTCTTCAGTTAGTTATATATACCTTTGAATGTATTTGAAAGAGAGTTGGCACAAAATCTATTGAGGAGAAGAATAATGGAAAATCGCTTAAGGTGGTTTGGTCAAGTGAGAAGAAGTCCAACGGAGGCTCCATTGAGAAAAGTGAATCAAATTAAGGAGGGAGAAAGGCTTTATTTTAAATTAAATATAGGAAAATAACTCTCATTCACCCCTACCCTCAAACATCAAAACATGGGGAAATATTTCTCCTTCCTTCTCCTTTTTCCCATTTCCAGACATAAGAGGTTTTATAGCCTGTGGTTGTGTGAACAGGATCTTAATTCACAAAATGAGGAAAGGAATACACCTCTTCATTGGGCGTGTCTCAACGGGCATGTTGAGGTAAGTACGGTACTCTTCTGGGGACATCCTATTTCACAGGTATTTTCTTTAACAGGCAATTGCTGTTCAGGTTGTGAAGAAACTAATCATTGCTGGAGCTAATGTTAGTGTTTTAAACAGGTCGGTTATATGACCTGAGTCTGAAACACTTATTTATTTATTTGTTGAAGAAACATTTTAATTTGTGTCTAGAATTTCTTATAATGTATCTGTTTTAACAATGCAACTTTTCAGTCACGAGAGGACTCCAATGGATGAAGCTGTGAGTGGGGGTAAGCTAGAAGTGATGGATGCAATTAATGAAGCAGTGGCACTGGTTGAACTTCGTGGAGCTATGGTTTCTGCATAAGAAACTTGAACCCTATGCTACACTAAGTAAGTAGCTTGTAATATGAAAATTTGGTGATAGTTGTCTTCCTATAATGTCTACATTGTTAGTTTGAACAAGATCATGATCTTGCTTCACTTTCCAGTTTCCCAATGCGATTTCTCTCTAGAAAATGGAAACTATATATATATCATTTTACATTTTGATCGTTTATCCTAATTATATCTAACGATTCTAATTTATTGCAAATTTAAATTTGAGCCGTTAGATGCAAGCAAATTAATGATCAAGATTTGGTATAAGACTTCTTATTCTTATACTAGTGTAAGAATATCCTACCCATTTCTCTAGCAGCTTGACATGTATTATTATAATTTTCCACATTTATGCTATATATAGGTAAAATCGTTTTTCCAGTAGCTTACGTTCAGCAATGACAGGTGTATGGTTATGATTCACTTGTTTGTATTTGCTTCCCGTATCATGTATACACTTGATTCACTTGAAAGGGGAAAATTATTTGAAAGAAGAGAAATGAATTATACATCGTTTTTCTGAATGATGATTTTTTTAAAGAACAAAATAACTTCAAAATTCAAATTCTAAGAATTTTATATTTCAAAAATATGGAAGAATGGTTGTATTTAGAAAGACTAGTGTATTGTATTTGCGTACTAAATAATGATGTAAAACTTCACGAAAATGAATTGGGCCTATTCTTTCCCTTTTGAAGTCCAACACCAAAAGTAATGAAAATCAACAAGTCCTTGAATGATTACTGTTTTGTCAGCCTGTATGTGCTTTTATACAGGCCATATAATAGCGCTTCAACTTCATTCTCGTGAAGGCCATAGCCATTTTTATATCTCATGAAAAGGCCTGTGTTTATCTTTTGCCCCATCCTTCAGATTATTATTCTTTTCCGTTTTAATTTGTTTAACATATAAATGTTTAACCGTTCCTTTTCTTTTCTTTTTTGTTGTTATTTTCTTTTATGGGTTTAGTGTTTAGAGTTATGTTATTTTAAGTGGGAGAAAGACACAAGCAATAAAAATCATGGTAGAGGAAGTGAGTAATTTTTTTTTGAAATTTAAATTTTAAATAAAAAGTACTAGGTTGTGTTTTTTTCTCACTTAAAATGACACAATTTTATACCTTTTAAAAGGACAAATATTTTTTCCTTCAATACCCTTCATTTGGAAGATCAACATAAACAAATGCGTATATTGTATCTTCAAGATCAGCATAAAAATTGAAATTGTTAATTTAGTGGATCGGGAATGAGTCATTTCATATATCATTTATCATGAGATGATTTTAATGTGTTTGGGAATAACTTAATTTTCAAAAATAGTTATTTTCTGAAAAGCTTTGTTAAAAACTTCTTAAAAATATTTTGAACTACAAAATAAATTAATCTAAACAGATTTATAGATTTAAGGCCGGCTTAATAGTTTTTGGGGGAAGGATCCGTTTACAAACTTTTTTTGAAATTTTTTTAAAAATTACACTATGTTCTCCCAACATAGTGTAATGAGTGTTCTCCCGGGAGAAGATAGTGTAGTTTGTAAGAGTTTGTAAACAAAAAATTTTGTAAATATAATCTGTCCCTAGTTTTTGACCCAAACACTTTTTGTAAGATAACCAAAATGGCTATAGCCTCTGATTTTTTTCAAGTTTGAATTTCAAAATTATGGGTACCATTGTACCGAAGTCAATCAACAAAGAGGCATTTGATAGAGGAGAATTTATTTTACTTGGAAATCATGATTTCCGAGAATATGATAGGAAAGTAAGTTTTTGGGTAATATTACCAAAAAGTTGTTTAGTAGGACAAAATATTCCCTGGAATACTGGGTTCAAATCGACGTACGGCAACCTACAATAACCATGTACGAATCGTCAGTACACGACAATTCTATCAAAACGCGAAAAACGTCAAATTTCCCTCCTATACCTTATAGGTTCGGCCTTCTTAGGCATTTTTCAAAAATTATTTTTTAAAATTTTCTTTCTCATTTTATTATACATCCTTAGGTTGCCAAGAGGCCATACCAAGTGTCGTTTTCCCATTTTACGTCTTTTAAGCGTCGTTTTACTTAATAATTCGCTCTAGAATCCTTTATGACATTTTACATCCTCAATTATTTTTCATTGTTTCTTTCACTTTCCAACCACCACACAACCCCTCTAAATAATATCATTTAACTCTTGAAAAATCATCCAAGCAATGCAAACAACCTCAATTCCCTACACTTCTCTAAATGGCCGAATTATAGCCTAAGTAATCCCAAGGAATTTCATTCAATTTTCAACCCTTCCACACTTCACACAATACCATTATATTAACTTATAATCACTCAACAACTCACCAATAAAATCCTAACACATTTTCACCATTCAAGTCATGACACCTCAAAATATTCTAAAGTTATTAAAATCATATTTTTCACCTAAAATTTTCATTGCATTTATAGCTAATACACATTATTCTAAGACACTTTCATGTACAAACTTTTCCCAATTGAGCTCTCTAACATCACACATCAACAATTCAAGGTTTAGGGTTCATAAATGTGATCTACAAATAAACCATGGAATTGGGGTGGAAACATACTCACAAACAAGGCTTGATATTCCTCCAAGACTTATCAAAGCAATGGAAGACCAAATGACTCCATGAACATCAATTTTTCTCCAAAAATTCGCAGCTGAAAATGGCCAATAACTCACCAAAGAGAGGGTTTCAAGGGTAATGGATACCACCAATGTGTTTGGAAGGTTGTTTCTAATAAATTTCAACACAAAAATCACTTGATTTGGTTAAGAATTGATGGATTTATCAAGGAAGAAAATTGAAACCCTAAGGTGCCTAAGGAGGGAGGGCTGATCGGTTTTTGAGAGAGAGAGATGAAATTAAGGTGATAGTGAATAGTGAATAGTGAATAGCTTAGGTGGATAAGTGGACTTAAGTGGGGTGGATCCCACGCCACCTCACTCGATTTAAAATTCATCCGAATTTCTCTAAACGTCCGTGAATTCACAATCTATTTAGAAACTCTAATTTTTAACATTAACTATTGTCCTTTAATTATACTTGATCAGATGAATCCGGAGTTTTCCGGTCGTTCAGAGAAAACACTGTTTTAAGCTGTTGCGTGCGCCGTTGGTACGCTTTCCCAAACTAACTTAATTCCATCAAATTTTATCATAAATCATATTTCCTAGTTCTATAAACCATTTATAACTCTTATTTGAAACCTAGAGCTCAAAACTCAATCGGCACGTTTTACGGTACAATCGTACCGCGACATTTTTACCCGGTAAAAATACTATTCACCGATTTTTCTTAAACTTGCCTATCCACTCATTTTTCGTTCTGAATCCATTTCCAGGGTTCTTTTTATCATCTGAGACCTTATACTAAATTTCCTTCCTAGGGTTGTGTGCATGGTTAATTTACCATTTTGCCCTTTCTTTGTATTTTGAACTAGTTTTCAGAATTTTCACTAATCCTTCCTTTTAATTCTCATTTAATATATTAATATTTAAATTAGAATTGCGAGGTGTTATACCAAACACCCCCTAACATCACAAGAAACTTTAGAATGATTCTTGTCAAAGCATTCAATTTTAATTTATTTTAAAGAGAGAGCATTAACACATGATTATTGGTGCATACATGCCTCCCAAAGGCTAATTTTGATCCTAAACAATTAAAAACCTGAGTCAATTATAAAGCAAAAAGATGCTGAAAAGGCCTTCCACCTACTTTGTATTGTCATGAGTTCATGAAAGGAGGAAACCAGTAATTTAAATAATATTCAAGAAACAAATAGTGCATGAAGAATATTCATATAAATATTGATACTTTATATGTTCCAATGTATATAAATATCTAGGATTTTTCGGCATCCCCTTTTTCCCAATTTGATGGCAAGAAAGCTTAGTCCTTTTTAATTCTATATTATTTATTAAAACTTTTGTTTGTTCGATCCAAGTGGGTTGAGAATGTTCACTCAGAGGGTGATATTTGTTGATATGGGATCATTATGCTCACAGGTATTTACGAGAGAGATATCGTAAGGCGTCACAAATCATTGTACATAAGAGAGAAATGACATAGTCAAAGCTTGAGGTGTGTGCACAATGACAACTAAGAGTAATGGAGTGTAAAAGTACATACTTGATAACTTTAACCTCTATTTATATATGGGTTATTTGAAAGTAGCCTTTTGTAGGCCATGAAATAAATGAGGGAAAAATTAAAAAAGTTGTGCGGAAAAAGCAACATTTGCCTACCCTCAATCATTTTCAACCCATGAATCATTCAATAGGCATGTTAGGGGTTTAAAGTTGATACCTTTTTTCGGATAACTATTATTGATCAGATCTTGATCAATTCTTCATACTTGAAGAACACAAGTCCTTCGATGGAAATCCACACCACATTGTTGTCTTGTAAGAGAAGAACGCTTCTTCGAATGCCCAATGTCCTTCAATGGAGGTTGCTAGACTCAAGAGAAGAACAGATAGTGGGTGGTGTCTTTGGTTATTCCATGAGAGAGATAGAGAGCTGCCACACTGATGTGTGTGTTGGCTAGGGTTTCAGTGGAGAAAATTAGAGAAGAAGAGTTACAAAACTAAGGAAGAAGATGGACTATATATAGGTGGCGCCTCATTAACCTAAGACTAGGTCAAAACAGTGCCCTCATCAAATCCCAATCTTATTGGGTAATTTCCTTAATTTATCCAATCAATCCAATTAATTCATTTCTCCAAGTTTAGCCAATTAATTTAATTAATTGGTTTCCTTAATTTTATGTAATCAATCCAATTGATTGGTTTACCCAATTTCAGTCAATTAATTTAATTGATTGGTTTCTAATCAATCTAATTGATTGGTTTCCTTAATTTCAGTCAATTAATTTAATTGATTGGTTTCCTTTATTTTCGCCATCTTCATTAAATCTAATTTAGTGACTATATTTAAAATCTAATTTCCAATTCGAAATTCGAAATTAGAATTTAAATTCAAATTAATTTTATTAATTTAACATTTAAATTAATTAGGTTACATCATGGATCAAATTCAAGTTGGGTCATGATGCCACCTACCCCCTGTTGGCCCATATATGGGCTTTACCAACTTAGGCCCATTATCCCTTATTGGGCTCAAACCACATATGCTAGAATTCAAGACATCTTAAGGT